CTCAAGTCACACGAAACTGATCAGAGTCCCGGAACAGCGAATGAGAAACAGTCTTGCTCAGCTGCTGTAACCCTTGCGGGCTGTAGCGCATTCTCCTCACTCTCTTGTCTTCCTGCAGGCAGGAGTGACTTCCTGACGGTGGCCCACGTGAGCTGTGGTAATCTTGAGGTGCTGTCGCCCCTGGAGGTGACGCAGACCCATGTGAGGGTGTCCATCACCGGCCTGTCCCTGTGGGGTCTCCTGAAGAACGTGTTCAGATTCAATGTCCAGGGACAGGTGCTGCTGTTCCTGCGGCCGGGGAATGGCAGGATCTTGAGACAGAAGCTGAACGTGTTTGTGCTCCCTGGGAACGTGCTTGTTAGCCAGGTACAGGGGACTTCCTCTCTCTCGATCTTTCTCTCTCTCCATAACTTCCCGTCTCTCTGTCTGTCTGTCTCTCCAGTGCTTCCTGTCTCAATTCAATTCAAGATTTATTGCTTTATTGGCATGACCCATGAGTGAAAATCAGTGTTGCCAATGCAAAACAAACACAATATAAAACCTACAGACATTGCAATACAGAAACAATAATAAGATCTTTACATATAAACATATATGTACAATATTTGGGTACAGGCTCACTGCTCCTCCGCTGGCAGTTCAACCAAGTTCCCTCCTCCCTCTCCCAGTAGGATTTGGACTTGTGATTCTGGAAGGTGTGGAAATTAAAGGAAGAATGTTTTTCTAATCCAAGTATATTTGTCACAGTGCAGTAGGAAGTGCACCTCTGTGTCGCCCAGTTCCTATGGCCAGGCTGTGGTCACTGAGCCTGTACTTCGTCAGGGTCTGTTTCTTTTTGCTGTTTCTTATCTTTGTCAAATATTCAGCTAGTGTGTATTTGTCTGTTTAGGGTGCTGTAGCATTCCAGTTTATGTTGTGTTTGTGTGTGTGTGTCCCAGTGTGTGAGATTGCTGTTTGATCTGTGCTGTGATGTGGTTGAGTCTGAGTTGTGGTGCTCTAGCAGTGCTGTCCTGTGTGTGGCCCAAGCCACACCGACACCAGTCAGCCTCAGGGCCGACTGGCTGAGAGGGCTCTTTGTTGGGCTCAGCTCTTGGCTCAGCAGGGCCTTGTGGTGGTAGGAGTTTTGGTTGCTGTTTTTTAAGTGTATCTCTGTTTGTCTCTCTAGCACTTCTGGTCTCTGTTCGTCTGTTTCTCCAGCACGACGTCGTGGCATGTTTCTGTTCCCCCGTTCCCAGCAGTGTCACCCTGTCCTCTCCTCTCCTCTCCTCCACAGGTCACCGAGCAGCAGGACCGCAGTAGCACCTTCATTCAGACGAGCTCAAGCTGTAAACTGACACCGCAGGCGATGTACAGAGTGTCCAGCAGCAGCAAGAAGACTGAGATAATCCAGCCTGAGGTAATGGTTCGCCTGTGACAGAGACGGAGATCACTGGCCTTTATGACCCAAACTGTTGAGAGAGCATGAGGGAGAGACTGAAAGATCTAGAGAGAGAGAAGCAGGAAAGACTCGGGTCATGAAAAGAAGATCTGAGTATCATCCAGCAGATACAGAGAAAGGAAAGGGCCCCAGTACTGACCCCTGAGGAACACTAGAGGGAAGAAGGCCAGATGAAGACAGAGCCTCACCAGGACACTTGGAAAGAGCAGTTCGAGGGACAGGAAGAGAACCAGCCAAGAGCAGCACCTGAAATACCCAGGTCAAGGAGAATCAGGATAGTGGAGAGAGAAGCAGAAAGCAGAGTCACAGAGTCTGTAGAGGGAGTCCAGCTGACTTCATGCTCAAAAAGGATTTGCCTGTGTGACAGACTGCTAGCTCTTTAACACAGCGTTACTGTTGTTCTTCCAGTCCGAGTGCTTTTCCTGCAGTTATGGCCCGAATTTCCACCCCACGTTCGAGGTGTTCCTGGCCTACGGTGCAAGGAGTCTGGACCTGGTGTTGCTGAAATGCGGCACAAGGACAGGAGAGGAGAGGGTGTGGAGCCGCATTGTGGAGCTGCCAGGTAACAGGACTGGGATCAGTGGAGTGAAGTGAGCACTGAGAGGTCACTGATGGGATTCCTGATGTCTTTGTGCTCCACTCGGTCTCTCCACAGGCAGTAGACTGTGTAATTCTGTGAGAGAGGTCATAGTCTGTGGGTATTGAGCTATGCAGAGTGAACACTGTCTTTACAGGAGACTGTGTGTCTGGTGGGTGTTGTGCTGTTTAGGTTGGCCAGTGTCTTTACAGGTGGGTTAATCCTTGTTTATTGATGCCAGTGGAAACCTGATGTCCCGGCTGATCAGTTAAAAAGAAGTTCAGAAGAAACTCGGAGATCATGACTGTAATTCACGTCTCTCTCTCTCTGCAGTCCCTGCTGTTCGGACCAGGACCCCAAAGACTTCTGCCCCTCAGAGTGAGTCCCTCTGTCCTCTTTGAGTATCTAGAGCTGGTTCCTCAGCCCTTGTATAGGAGCAGCCAGTAGAAGGGTGTCTGTGTTTATTTCAGGAATCGCGCTCACCAGCAGCGAAGGGTGGGAAACAGCCTTGAATGAAGTGATCGAGGAGCTGGAAGCAGACGAATACAAGAAGCTGAAGAACATTCTGCACCAGGAGGGGATGTTCCGGGGTTTACTGGGAGACATCGAGAAGCAGGACCTGGCCCACAGGATCGTCTCCCACTTCGGAATGGAGGCGTCTGTTCACGTCGTTCAGGAAGCCATGGCCAGCATTCCTCGGAACGACGACAGGATACAGAAATTACTGAAGCCCTTTGTGGAGCAGCTGAGATAGAGAAGGAGCATAAGGACACCCTGTAGGACTACAGTGTTTCACCATGAGGGAGTCACTCCGGAGGGACACACAGTCGTCCTCTCTCGGCTCACAGCAACGCCCCTGAGCCACACAGAGAGCGCGAGGAAGATCACACAGGCTCCTCTGAGCCTGCACTGGTCCAGCCCATGAACACAGCAGAGCTACCACTCTGTAGCCTGATGCCCTCAGAGCTCGGAGCTCAGCAAGGCTGGGAGACTGTAAGGAAACCAGGATGCTGCTGCTGTGTGTGGAGGTTGTGGACCAGCAGGTGGCGCTGTTGCCTCTTGAGCCGAAGTATCCCCAGTATTTTTAGGAAAGAC